TTGAACCACCAGCCTTCTGGTTAGCAGTCAAGTGCTTTAGCTACTATGCTACCAGGGAAAGCTACGTCTGGTCAAATCCCTGAGCAACGGGACACGCCGCGTCACCGTCTCCTTGGAATGGACGTGAAGCGGAGACAGTGGCTGTGGAGTCGCTGCCGACTCATGGTGGCCCCAGGTGTGCAGAGCGGAACTTCCCGCCGCAGGGGCCCCAGGCGTGACCTTCGGGGACAGATCACAGGCCTGTCTGCTGAGATGCCTCTGGGGGACTGGGTTGGTGGCCAGGTGCTTAGGCTTCTTATGTAATGTTACGACCTGGTCCGTCGGAAAACTTTGTTCAGAGGCCCTTCTTCATCAGAATGGACTGCAGCCCGCCCCATGTTCACCTGTCAACTGGGAGCCTAAACCCAGCAGTAACAGCATCTTTCATAACAAGGGGGTTGCGAGGGTTTACTAGGACCAGTGTGGATTCAGGAAGGGCCACCCTGTATTCAGGAAAAACAACTGGGTAACAGAGGAGCCTGACCTACTCAGGCTGGAGGGGAGCCCGGGGCAGGGGAGGGGAGAGGGAGGGAGGAGGAGGGAGAGCAGCGAGGGGAGGACAGGGCTGGAGGGAGCAAGAAGCAGCAGGCCTGCCTGTGGCACTCACGGCCAGAGGGGGCACCGGGGACTCTCCCCCAGCCAAGGCCTGAGGTGTCGGAGGCAGAAGGAGCTGGGAGCAGGCACCCCTGTCGCCCTCCCAGCCCGGTGGCTGCCTAACAGAGATGAACGACCTCAGGAGCTTCGGAAATAATTTTCTGTTGATCTGAAGTAAATTCTCTCCCCAAGAGCAGCACATCCAATCACGGGCTGTCTGTCTGCATCGCGGTCCCCATATATCAGAGTTTGCAGAGGGTGAGCGGGGACAGTGGAACTGATGGGCTTGGGGTGCAGGGGACGATTTGCTGGGCAGCCACCACCCCTGCCCGTGCCCCCTCCTCCTCCAGGCCCCTGAACCAAGAAGGAGGCAGGTGTGGGGGTGCTCACTGTCCACAAGGTTGATGAGTCCTGCTCCCACAGGGAGTTTGGGCCACGACGCTGGTCGGTGCACCGTGCCCAGCATTAGGGCCTGTCTGATGCCAGCCGCTGCCTCTGGTGGCGAGTCCGCATTAACAGGACATCTTCAGAAGCGTCTTACAGAGACACCAGCAGCTCCTGGAAGCTGGGTCGTCCACAAACATGGTGCTTCGTAAAATATTTTACCTTCAGTGTGACAGGGACTTTCAGGGGCTTCCGACAGGCTCCTTCGGGGACCCTGGTCTGTTCTGGGGGTGCCGCCCGCCAGAAGTGGGCACTGGGGTGAAGACACCACCCGGAGGGCCAGCTGCTCCCCACGGGGGGGAGGTGACAGTGCGCCTCTGAGGGGACAGCCTGCAGCTCTGTCTCCGGGCAGGACGGTGTCCTGGAGAGAGCTGCAGGCAGCCAGCAGCCCCTGGGTGACACCAGCCTTGTCACCGTGGCAGCGGAGAGAAAGCACAGAGCAGATGTGGTGACACGGCTGTGAGGCCCCTGGACGGACACAGTCTGCTTCACGCAGTGACCCCCCTGTGGCCTTCTCCAACCTCAAGCCGACTGCCACTGAGTCGAACCCCAGTCACGGCCACCTCGTGGGTGTGAGAGCGGGACCACGCCCGCGGGCTTTTCAGTGGCTGAGTTTTCGGAAATGGACCACCAGGTCTGCCTCCTGTGACCCCTCTGAGTGGACTCGAACCTCCAACCATTGGGTTAGCAGCCCAGCGTGTTCCCTGTCTGCCAGCAGGGGCTCCGTTTCCGCAGTCTGGGCCCAGCCTCAGCAGGAGGCGGCCTCTGGCCTTCTCTGCAAAGCTGCAGCTGGGGGCGGGCCGCGTAAACAGCAGACAGCGCCGGTAAGCACAGGTGTTAGTTTAAATGAAGCACGGGATGAGTTCACGGAGCTCCGTCAGCCGGGAAACGCTGAAGGTCTGGGCGCAACTGGTGCCCTCCGCTCAGCGGGGACACGTCTGCTCCACTCCCGCGACTCACCGTGGGTTTGTTCTTTATACGGCGGGAACCAAGAGAGGGTATGTTCAGGGCACACGTGCCTGGGCAGGGGGCTCCTTCTCTGTCAAACCGTCCCCCCGGATTTCCGAAGGCGGCTGAGTGAGCGTCTGAAACATGGGTGGCCGGGCGCCGGGAAGCACCTGCCACTCTCACTGCAGCCCGACTGCCGAAACCACCGCCAGGTGTGGCTGGAGTTCCGGCCACAGAGCTGGTTCCTGAGGGCGCTGCGCTGGAGAGCCTTTTCTTGCAACGGCAGCCTCCCGCCGAGCGGCTGGGGTCCCCTGCTCTGGCCGGTTTTCCTCCTTCCTTGGTGTGGGTGGTGAAAGGATGTTAAGCCGGCCTCCTGCAGGCCGCCACGTCCCCCGTGTGCCCCCACCTGCGGTTGAACTCCTCCAGGACACAGGCTCTCAGCGCTTTGTGTGTTCAGCTCATACGGTCCTGCATGGAGCAGCCCTCGGACACACAGGCCGATTCCGGAGACACTGCGGGATCGTACCAGACCACTGCCGCAAAGCCAAGGTCACGGTGAGGAGAGTCGCACACACCTGTTGGTTTCCCGGTGACTGTAAAAGTTCCGTTCGCTCCACTGTCGTTTGTTAAGTGTGCAACAGAATGATGGAAAAGTCTGAAATACCGTGAGAATGACCACAATGGGACACAGAGACATGGGGTGTGGCATGGGGGACAGAGGTCCCTGGCAGAGCTGGCACAGGGTAAGTGTCTGGGGAACGGGTGGCCAGGCCGTAGGGTGGGCAGTGCTGGCTTAAGACCTCGAGTGACGGAGGAAAGGGCCCCCAGCCACCCACGAGGAGGATGATGGTCACCGACGAAGAAACAGAGGGTCTGAGGGGCAACTTCCCCGAGGCTCTGGCCTACGCCGGCTCCAGGAGACCGAGACGTCCTGTCTCCTGCCGGGAACTTCATCAGACTCCAACCTGAGGAGCGTCTGAAACCAGTGACATCCCTATGGCTTCCTGGGTCTCACAGGTGGTCAGGTTTGGGACACGCTCGACACGGATACGACCTTAGTACCTAACTAGGAAAGCCCTATTAGAACCCTCTTCCTGTGTGGGGTCCCACTCCAGGTATGGGGTGGGTACAATTGAAACCGCGAGAACACCATAAGCCACCCTCCTCAGTGATCAAGGACGTCACACGAGGACAAAGACCTCCAGCCCCCAGGCTGCCACCGATGTGGGGAACATGCCCCATCGGGACTGGCTCTTGGGTACAGTCCTGGGCATGGTGACCATGCCGCAGGCCCTCGGCCACGTGGCCACAGTGGTCTATCAGTCACCTTAAGAAAGCCACAGGCGATGTGCACTCTGCCGGCAGCTCTCTGGGTGAGGACAGACTTATTCCTCCTTTTTCGGAAGCCGGGGCCACTCACCTGTGATGACACCGTTCTTCTCCAGGGGCTCCTGCCAGCTGACCTTCAGAGACGTGTCCAGGATCTCTGTGACACTCAGGTGCCCCACAGCCCCCGGTCCTGGCAACGAAAAGCAAAGCCACGTGTGAGCACATCGGCCCAGCCCTTGGTTGATCTCATGTCTCTGTGTGTGCGCGTGCGTGTATCTGTGTGTGAGTGCACACATGCACGCATGTGTTAGCTTCTAACTGTGGGAGGGAAGTGAAACCTGCAGGTCCCAGGGGAAGTTGAGACGGACGAGGGGCTGGGGGTGCTGAGGTGTGCCAACCGTCATCACCCCGCAGCCACCATTCAGCCGCGCAGAGAGCTGAAGGGGCTGGGGCAGGGGTCCGGACCACTTCTCTCCACGGTTCTCCTCAATCTAATCTAAGAACAATGAGGCCCCTGGAAGCTGGGGTGCAACAGCTCGTGCTGAGTTCCCGGGACGTGCACCCGCAGCCGTGCGTCTGGCCTGTGTGGGCCATCAGAGGCCGCCTGCAGGGCCACCACTACTGGCCTCCCAGGTGACGCCTGCTGGCACGACCCAGAATTCCAGGCTCAGAGCCACCTCCCGCTCTGCATCTTGGCGGGGTGGAGCCTGGGTTGAGAACGTTCTGGAAAAACGCGTTTCTCTCACAGCAGTGTTTTTGTGCTAGGGCTGGCCTCCCATTCTGGGAGCAGAGGCCAAATGCTGGCCCAGGCATGGACGTCACCCTCTGAGCCTTCGTGTGCTTGTCTGTGAAACGGGGACACTTTGCAAGGCTGTGGTGAGCCCAGGATTCAATGGCGTGCCAAAGTGGTTTGCCGGTCCCCGGAACCATGAAAACGTCCAACGGACGTCTGTGGGTCCGTGGCCACAGCCTTTGCTTTGACTCCTGGCGACCCCGTATGAACAGAACACAGCGCTGCCCGGCTCTGCACCGCCCCCCCGCCCGTCGGTGTGCTCTAGTCCGTGGCTGCAGCCACCGCGTGGTCTGAGTGCCTTCCAACCTTGAGGGCTCACCCACCCCGCGTTGGACGGCACCCTCAGTGGCGTTAGCTCTGTGATCACTGCAGTCAGTAGCAGCTTCGCTGCGTCAGAACCCAAGACGAGCCTGTCGCCGTTTCGAAAGGCAGCAAAGACCCAAGAGGTCGAAGCATGGGTGGCCGTCACTCCTCGGGGCCCAGGGGCTCTGCCAGCCATGTGTGTCCATCCTCTGCCCTGTGCTGCGGAATTCCAGGCTCCAGTCCGGAATACAGGCTGCTCAAGGACACACAGCCACAGGGGGCCACTGCAGACGGACAGACACGGGGCACCAGACAACCCTGCACTTCCTCCTTCCCCAGCTGTTCCAAGGGTCTGTCCCGGATGGCCCTGTCCCCTCAGGCCTCACCAGTCGCTGGGCGTGGTGGTGGGAGCAGGGGGAGGGGTTCTGGAGGAGGTTACAGGACCCGGTGGGGGCAGGGGCATCAGAAGAGGGGTGAGCGGTGGTCTGCACCCCCATGAACCCGGCACTGGGAGGGTCCGGCAGACACTGACAGCCCATCGTATCACAACGGAAATGCAGCTGTTCTTCAGATGTGCTCAGCGTCCCCGGAGGCCGTCCCGCTGACAGGGCTCCCCACACCCACCCTCTCAGCAGGCGGCCCTGGTGGCTCCCGGGTGCTAAAAGAAAGGTGGCTGGTTTGAGGTCACCAGTGGTTCTGCAGCAGAAAGGCCTGGCGGTCTGCTTGTGTAAAGATACTGTTGTTGCCAGGTGCCACTGAGTTGGTTCCAGCTCACAGCGACCCCACGCACAACAGGACGAAGCGCTGCCCGGGCCTGGCCAGCCTCACACCGTTGCTGTGCGTGAGCCCATGGCTGCAGTCACTGTGCGGGCCCTGCCATCGAGGGCCCTCCTCTTTGTGCTGACCCCTGACTCTCCAGCCTGAGGGGCCCATCTTCCGGCCCTGTGTCAGACAGCACTGCACTGCTCTCCATGAGGCTTCCAGGGCCCAGGTTTCCACAAGCTGACTGCCACGCCCCTCTCCCCAGGCCGTCTCAGTCTGGAAGCTCCGGGGAAGCCCGTCCACCACGCGGGACCCTGCTGGGATTTGAAATGCCGGTGGCGTGGCCTCCAGCCTCACAGCAACACACAAGCTCCCACAAAGGCACAAACTGACGGAGGAGTGGTGGACGGCCTAGAAAACCCGGGGACATTTCTACTCTGTCCCACAGGGTCCCTACGAGTTGGAACTGACTCCACAGCCCCAACGACCACAACGGGCAAAGGGAACCCTGTGGCACCAACGGTTCAGGTGCTCGGGTCTTAACCAGAGGGTGGAGGTTTGAGACCTTCCAGGGCACCTTGGAAGAAAGGACTGGCGGTCTGCTTACATAAAGCCAGCTGCCGAGAAGCCTGTGGGGCGCAGTTCTATTCCCGCTGAGTCAGGAGTGACTCTAACAACCATGGCGCCGTTGGCGTCCATTCCAGGAGGAACGGAGGGGAGCAGGCGGGCAGGGATGACGGACAGGACGAGGAGGAGAACGGAAGAAAGGGGCGCTCTGAGGCAGAACAGGATCGGTGCAGGAGGAGGGGAAGGCAGGAGGGCTCACAGGTTTACTCCACGTGCGTCCACGTGCGTCCCCTGCACCGGGCCAGGGGACACTGGAGCCTACTGAGAGGCCCTGTGGGGGAGGCCCGGGGGCGTGCTGAGTGCCGCCACCCTGAGGTCTCTGAGTAACAGACAACGCAAGTTCTCAGCTGGCAAAAGAGCACAGAGTGAGGGTCCCTGCCAGGCTCTCTGGGGGCGGCTCTGGGCAGCCCCGTGGCCCAAGTGGCAGGGGGTCAGGGTGGATCTGACACCATGTAACCTTGGCCTTGGCCTCAAATTAAAAAAAAAACAAAACAGTAGTTCAGTCGTTTCCGACTCATAGAGACCCCTCCTTGGGTTTCTGAGGTGGTACTACTACGGAGGTAGATTGCCGAACCTTCCTTCTGAGAAGTAGCTGGTGGGTTTGAACTGCCAGCCTTCTGGTTAGCAGTCAAATGCCCTAGGCACTATGCTACCAGAGCTCCCTTTGGCCTTCAATACAGCTTGTAATTTAGAGGAGATGGTAACAGCCTCGGAAAATATACCATTTGGGTGAAATTTTCAAAAGACTTTTTATGGATGAGCTCAAAGGCACTTGAAAAACCCCACTCTTGCAGGGTGGAAGACGGTCAAACAGAACGGCTGTCAGCCGCCTCGACCCGCCCCGGTTCTGAGCTTCCAGAAACACACTCTGACGGCTTGGAGCTGCTGTTCTTTTCTCGGTGAATGAAGTGGCCGAGGACTCTCAGTTTCAGTATGTGCAGGGTGTTTCTGTTTCCCGGATCCCTGCCCAGACAGGCTGTCCCCTACAGCTGCCGGAACCAGCTGGCAAAACCCAGCATTAAAATGGTGTTCTGTCCTCTGTGCTTTCCCCTCAGCCCAGCCCTAGCCACGTTCTTACTCCACAGGTGCTCTGGACAAGGAAGCCAGGGGGCACGGAACCAACCGGCTGCGCTTACAGCTTCAGCACCCACGGGCGATGGAGGCAACACGTCCCCAAGAGGCCCGAGTTTTCTTCCTTAAGGCTGCACCTCCAGAGCGGACGGCAACCCCACCTCCAGCCTGGCAGGGCAGCATCCCACGCATAGACGGACACCCCGCCCTTGTACCAGACCCCCACTGCCGTGGACTCAATTCCGACCACAGCGCCCCTAGAGGACAGAGTGGAACTGCCCACAGGGTGTCCAAGGCTGTCAATCTTCACGGAAGCAAAGCCCAAACCACACCCACTGCCCTGGAGTCCATTCTGACCCACAGCGCCCCTAGAGGACAGAGTGGAACTGCCCACAGGGTGTCCAAGGCTGTCAATCTTCACAGAAGCAAAGCCCAAACCACACCCACTGCCATGGAGTCAATGCCACTCACAGCGCCCTTAGGGGACAGAGTGGAACCGCACACAGGGTCTCCAAGGCTGTCAGTCTTCACAGAAGCAAAGCCCAAACCACACCCACTGCCTGGAGTCCATTCTGACCCACAGCGCCCCCAGAGGACAGAGTGGAACTGCCCACAGGGTCTCCAAGGCTGTCAGTCTTCACAGAAGCAAAGCCCAAACCACACCCACTGCCTGGAGTCCATTCTGACCCACAGCGCCCCCAGAGGACAGAGTGGAACTGCCCACAGGGTCTCCAAGGCTGTCAGTCTTCACAGAAGCAAAGCCCAAACCACACCCACTGCCATGGAGTCAATGCCACTCACAGCGCCCCTAGGGGACAGAGTGGAACCGCACACAGGGTCTCCAAGGCTGTCAGTCTTTGGGGAAGCTGACTGCCTCATCTTCCTCCTGTGGAGCAGCTGGTGGGTTCAAGCCGCCAACCTTTCAGTTAGCAGCTTAGGCTCTCTGCCTATGAAACACTGTCAGGAAATTCTGAAATGATGACACCACTGCTGGCTTTCTCTTCACTCTGAGGGTGCGGCTAGCTGCATCTGGGCTTCTTGTCCGGGCTCCAGAGCTTTGTGCAGACTGCGTTTCCCCTGGGGCTTTGTGTACTTGTTTGTCTGACTGGCAGGGTCGGGGCTTCCCGGCAGGGCGCTAAGCCAGCGGGTCTTCCCTCTGTGTCTGAAGAGGTTCCCATCTTTCACCAGTTGTTTTTGTTTGTTTTACAAACGCCTTCTGGAAAGCAGACTCTGATATCCAGCCAGACCCCGCTGTGGCTTGATCTGAGACACAGCCCTGCCTCCTCTTCAAATTAATAACATACGAGAAAGCGCCCCAATAATAAAGAGACACAAAGCAGACTTAGGTCCCTGGGTGGGGCAGATGGTTTGTGCTTGACTGCTAACGTGAAGGTGGTCAGCTCCAACCCGCCCAGCGCACCACAGAAGGTCTGGCACTCTGATTCCATGAAAACCATCACAGCCAGGAAAACACCGTAGAGCAGTTCACTCACCACGAGTCGAGACTGACTCGGAGGGACAGGTTTTGGTGATAAAGGGGTGCTTGGTAGATGCTCCCAGAATCTGCTGCCACCCCCAAGCACCCCATTAGTAACAAGGGCCCTCCCTTCCCACCTCTGCCATAAAGGCAGAGCAATGGAGTTTGCTCCTGCCAGGGGAGTGGAGGGTGGACACTTAGTCTAAGCAAGAGCTTATCCCTCCTTCCATGGCCCAGTGGGGACTCACTGCACTCCCACCCAGAGACGGAGCCCCCATCCTGTGCGTGGCTGTGCGAGCAGCCTCCTCCCTGCTCTACACCTTCCAGTTCCACTTGTCCACCTGACCCCTCGACTGCTGACCCACTGCCTGGAGTCCATTCTGACCCACAGCGCCCCTAGAGGACAGAGTGGAACTGCCCACAGGGTCTCCAAGGCTGTCA